TCGGTAGCGGCCCGTGCTGCGGGCACAGGGGGGCCTTCCCACCGCCGCCTCCTCTGCAAAGAGCAGGAATTGGTTTCCTCCTTCTCCCCCTTCCTAAACCAGCCGCTCCCGGTACCCGCTAACAACTGTTGCTTTCAGACCTCAGGGCTCTAAAGGGACCCGGACCGAGCGCTGCAGGGACACGAGGCTCTCCCCGGGGCTCTCGAGGTCGGTGTCCGTGCCCAGGGCACTGCAGCCCAGCCACTGCAGGCGTCTGCGCTCCCCTCTAGCATCTCTGCGCTCTCAGGATGTGAGAGAAACGCTTCTGAGAGGCCGCTGTCAAAGGCACGAGTGGGAAGAGGGTGCCAGTGCTTTCAAGGCTGCATTTGTGCAGCAGCACTTAACAGCCTGCACAGGGACGGTGTCAGGACAATGTCTGATGAGCAGGAGTGTGTGTTGGTGGAGGAAGAATTGGCTGGTTATTGGTTTGTAAAAACCTCAGTCAGGAATGCGTGCGTTGTTCCTGCTTCCATCTTAGGGCTTTTAGCCCACTTCATGTCCATTTTCCTGCTGTGATAAAAAGCACAGCTGAGGTGCGGAGGCTGAAGGCCATGGCTCTACATCCCTTATCCGTGCTGCCACCTTCCTCCTCCTCCTCCTCACCTGCTGTTATTTCTGGAACCCCCTTGAACTCTCGTACCGCACCAGCACCCTTCCCCGCTTGCAGCTTCTCATCAAAACAAACTACTTGTGACTGTGGTGAGTCACATCAGAGTGAGGAAAGTGGCAAAACGTTTTGGTTCCATTCCTCGCTGTGTCGTTTTTATCTCTAGAACCTCTGTTCCTCTCGGCCTCTTGCTGTTGTACTGATCTCCTGTTGCTGTAATGTCACATTAAGAGCATTTTGGTTTGGGTTGTGATTTCTGTGGCAAGTAGGACTTTGGTTTCATTTGGGTTTTCAAGTGTGGTATGTATTAATAGCAGCAGCACCCTTGCTCTGGAGCTTGTTTTAAAGCACCACGGCACATAACCTCAAAAAGCAATTAGCCAGACTAGTTATGGCAGCAGAGCCACGCGCGCTTCCCAAAAACTTAATTAATTTGTTGCACAGTGTATGGTTCCTGGTGGCTTTTGTGGGCTGCCAGCCAGCCACAAGCCTCTCAAAACTTGTATGGGATAAGTTCTCTGCTGTTAATGCAAACCTTTCTTATGAAAGGCTGAATAAAATTGCACTGGAAATCACAAGAATATAAAGTGGTGCTTAGAGCAGGGGATCAGTAATTGGTGTTTATGGTTACAGCAGCCTTTGTGAGTCCTTCTGGTGAAGCAGAAAAAGCCCTGAAAATCATGCCCTGCCCTGCCTCAGATTTCATTGTAATTCAGTTTATTAGCGTGGGTTTTTTTTTCTCCAACAGAAAGGTATGCCCTGCAGCATTAGGTGGGGTTGGCTGACAAGCACACCGCTTGTGAAGGCAGCAAAATTAGCAACATGATATAAGTGGTTTGCCTTTGTGGAAGTGAAACTCCTACCCGCAGCTCTGTACTGGGCGGTTCTTCCCCATGCCAGGGGCCTTCCTGTGCCTCTTGGCTTTTCTCCGGATTAAAAACGTGCCTGGGACAGGTTTGGAGCAGGGGTGTGCACACACGCACACTTTTATTGTAGAAGTTGAACAAAAGTAGTATTTTACATGGGACTATCAGTAATAACTTGGGGGAATTCCCATTTTAAAAAATCTAGGATTTTTGTTGTTTTCACCGCCAGTGTGGATACGTGTTGTCTGCACAGTGTGTGTGTGTGTGTGGAGTAGCACCTGTCAGTGGTACAGGTGGATGAATGGATAGATGGCTCAAAAAACTAGTTGCCTTACTACTCACTGAGTGGAACTTGTGCTGCTGTGGTAAGCCAAGACTTCAAAGATTTGATACGTTTGTTAAAGAGAATTTCTGTAATCCTTGTTTTGACATGGTTGAACCAAAGAATAGGTTGGCTTAGAGCCAAGAGTGAACGTCTCATGGCGCCTGGAGTGGCCTGTGCAGTGGGGGGAGGAGAAGACAGCAGCCCCTCAGCAGCCCCTCGGTCCTTATCCTGACACCTTATTGTCAGCGAGAAGTGACACGCACAAATGGCATGTACAGCCAGACTGAAAATAGCCCCTGGCTGGTCCCTGAGAACATGGGGCCTCCTTATATGTCCTGCTGCACATGCCGAGGCTGCCTGGGGGAGGGGGTTTCTTCCCACCCCAGGTGCCCTGCATCCAACAGCCTGGAACAGTGTTTCCTCCCAGGCCTGCAGACCCAAGGATCGAAAGTTAGTCTGTTAATCTAGGGGGCAAAAAGTGGAATAGGATCTTCAAGCTGATGTTGATTTTACCATCAGGAAAGTGATGAGGTTTTTGTGTCAATCTGTCAGTAAAAAAGAAAGAAAGCAGCAACATTCTTGTGACAAGCCTTGCAGAAACAGCTTGATGCCTGTCCTGCTCACTTTTCACCAGCTTTCTTTATTTCTTGCATGTAGGATTGCCAGATGCTTTTAAACCAGCTGAAAGAGATCACAGGAATTCAAGATTCAGCTTACCTCCACGCCACTCTAAAGGTTTGTGCCTGCTCACTTTGCTCTGTGGAAAGGAGACCTCGGAATTCGTCCCAAAAGTCAGGCAAGCCCAGGCTCTCAGTGTCTGCAGGGAATGTGCACTTCTTGGGTTCATGTGTATTTGTCCACACCTGGAACAAAAACCTCAAGCCGAGCTGAGAGCCATTTGTTTTGCTAACAGTAGACCTTAAAATCTGTGCTGTGCTAGAACTCTGTAAACATTGCCTGGAAAGTCTATTCCTCCGGGGCTGTTATCCGTGTGTTGCAGTAAACACCAATTGAATGGGTCAGAGCAGGTTTTCCTCCACATAAACTGCTCCAGGAGGTCTGGGTAGCTGCAGTAACAGCGGTAGCTTTGGAGCTGGGGATCATCTTGTCCATCACCAGGACAGTCGTCTGTGCTCTGAAGTGAAGGGAATCTCAGGCATTTGAAGGAGCAATGTTTTCCTGGAAATATTTCCCCGTGTTGTGCATGTTTCGGTACTTGTAAATTGTGGTGTAAAACCAGCTGCAGCCACATGAGCCTGGAATCATTAGACAGACACCCTCCATCCTCTTGAGGTGTGACAGCAGGATGCAGATTGTGCTGAAAATGCACACAGAGGCTTGTGCAAGGAAATTCTTAAATGTTTCATGAAGAACACGTTAGAATAAATGTAAAGGAGTTAAACCCATAGCGCTGGTCTGAAGAAAGCCCTAGCTGAGTACAAGACAAACGTCTTGAAATCCACAGAGTGTTTGATCCCTGGTGGCAAGGTGCCCTGTGGCACTTCAGGCCTTCTGCAAGTGCTCAAATCCCTTGTGAGGGAAATGAAATTAGTTCATGGAGTCTGTGTTGTCCTATTAATACAGCCAGAGTGCTTTCCAGTAGAGAAATTGTAGCCTTGGTTAACTCATTTTTTCCTGCAGCTTGTCACTGAGGTCATGCTCTGCTGTGGCCGGAGCGAGTGGAGCCAGTGGGCATCTGCTGATCTCCACCACAGGAGCATTGAATGTTGGGCAAGTGTAGATGAAGTAACCTTGGCACTGTCGATTTTTTTCCCCCTGTTGTTCTGCTAGGCTGCCAATGGAGACCTCATGGAAGCAGTCACCTTCCTGACTGAGGAGCACGCTCAGGAGCCAGCTCGGGACGCGGCTGCCACGGAGCCATCAGCTTGGGAAGGAAGTGCTGTGGGCAAACAGCTCCCACAAGGTGAGTGGATAATTTCTGCTCACTCTGACAGATTTGTGTCTCCCAGGGAATTCCTCCAGCTCCTCTAGGAGAGCCACATCTGAAAGTGACTTTAGTAGTTGTTTAATTGTGCTTGTAGGTGACACATCATAGTTTTGTCTAGAAGGGGAGCAAGCAGAATAGAGAAGTGACCCCTGTCAAGGATTGTACATTTCTTTCTGCAGCATCTGCTGGCAGAGCAGGCAAATTGAGTGTTCAGTATCGAATTTCCATGGAAACTTAGAAGCTGTTAAAGCTAGCAGTTTGACTACCTGAGAAATGTTTCTCTTTTCCTATGTAGCCAGTACATGAAATTACACATAGCCCAGCATCCTGATGGGAGTGAAGGGAAGTGGTTCTGTGCGATTGTGCCCACTTTATTGAAACCCTTTGTTTCTGAAAACAGTGTTAGTTGTCAGTACTGCCATCAAGGCACAGCACATATAAGCAGCAGCTAATGTCCCTGTTTCATTATTTCAGGAGTTTTGAAGTGTTCCCCCAGGCTCTGAACTCATCTGTAAGGAGATCTGGCCAGTGCACAGCTGCATGGTCTGTCCTGTTCTCCTCATCCAGCCCACTCAGTGGCCTTTTTTAGGTTCCCCAGCACAACCGAAGCTACAAGGATTTGTATTTAAAACTTGAGCTAGAAAATTGTGCTCATATTAACTGAGAAAACATAATGGTGATGTGTAACATTTTCTAGAAGTTCCTTATCAAAACGTATGCTTGCTCCTGGTAGAAAACTGATCAGGGCTCTGCCTCCTCTTCTAGATGTTACTGCTGCTCTTACCCCTAACAACGGAGATGACCTTGGCACACTTGATGCCTTCAGACCACTGGAACCTCCAAAATCTCAGGCTGCAGAACGAGATGCTGCTGAAAGGTTAGTGTGTCTGTAGATTGCTTTTGTCTTTCCCTGGTATTGTGGATTCGTAAGCTGATAACCACAGAATGAGCACAAATCACCTACCAGATGTGTATCTACTGCTTTTAGAAAGTGTTTGGGCCATTGCTGCCCAATGGGTAGCTGACCTTTACTTCTGGGGCAATGCTGCAATGTGATGGTTTCCAGAGAAAAAGCAGGTTGAGTTGTGTCTTACTCAGTCCCCACTGCTGCTGCTGATGTGCCACACCAAAGGACACTGTCATGGCATGGTGGCATCTGTTGAAGATGCACCTTGAAATCATGCATCTATTCAGTTCTCCTCATTACTATATAGCTCTATCGTTTTTACTAGGGATTGGATTTGCCTCCAGTAATCACTAAAAGGGCACCAGTTTTGCCAGCAGCTGATTCATGGAGGAAAACAAGCACATCTCACTAACTTCTTCACCTTATCACCATGCCTAATTGTCTTGCAGTCATGTTTTTCATCCACCTCATGTGAGAATTGAAAGTTTTCTGGAATCTGATAAAACATCTCTTGCCTGTTGTGTTGAGTGTCGGATCTGATGTCCCACGTGTGACTAGAGGGAAGCACGATTCCTGTAGTTCTTGGGAGTCTTTGTGAGATGGTGTTTGACAGCAGGGTGTCCATCTTTTGTGACAGACCACAGGAAGTGCTGTCTGCTGAATACAAAAATCGCTCCAAAAGGAAACGCTGTGAAGTCTGGGGAGAGAACCCCAAGCAGAACAACTGGAGAAGAGTGGGTGACTGGCCTGTTGGAATGAAAAATATTGGAAATACGTGTTGGTTTAGTGCTGTCATACAGGTAATCTGAGAGTGAAGTTCTCCAGGAGTTGCTACAGTCTTGGAGTGAAAATATGTATCAGTTAGAATTAGACATGCAACAGGTCTGTAAAGTGATGAGTGAACGTGACCGTGCTGAAATGAGATTTCTGCTTTTATTTTATAAGGTTGTGATTTATTCTGGGCGTGCACAAAGAGCGAGAGAGTTAAATAGACATTGCATAAAAATAGATCCAGGTACAGATAATCAGTGTGTACGAATGCAGGGGTTGTGTTTGTGCAGCCATGTCCAAATGCTTACTGAATGACAGAAGCTTGACTGGCAAAGTGAACTGATAATTTAATTTTACTGCAGTTATTGTTGGCTCCATTATACGTAGTGTATCATATTCTGGTTAATGGAATATGCTGGCACAGATGCTGGAAGGAATAAGCAACTAGGCAGCATGTATTATTAGTGATAAGCTAAACAAGAAGAGACGGCAAGAAATTGAACTGAGCAGATTTGTCTCTTCTGACCATTTCATATCAGCAGGTAGATGCTAATCATATGTCTCCAGCTTTGAGAGGAAGCAAAAAAGTTTCCCGTGAGCTCCTCTCTCACTGTGATTTCTTCCTGATGCTGTTTCTGTTTGCCTGTGCAGAATAGAATACTCTTTCCTGAAATGGTGTTATGTGTCTCCTAGAAATGGCAGGATGAGGCTTTGTTCTTCAGTGGGTAGGAAGGTGCTAGGCCAGCACACAGGCTGCTGGCTTCATAAACGTTTATTCAGTAACACGAGGCCATTGAAGAATTTGAAGTTAACAAAAAAGCTGTCAAGTAGAAGAGTGACGCCTGGGCACCAGACTGTGGTGAGTCAAACCCTCACAGATGCTGACTGGTCTTTGCCTGTGATTTCCTTTCAGTCGCTGTTCCAGTTGCCTGAGTTTCGGAGGCTGGTCCTTGGGTACTCCCTCCCACCAAACGTGCTTGAAAGTTGTCATAGTCGCACTGTAAGTTTTCATTGTGTAATGCAGTAAAGTTCCCCTCTCTGGTGGTATACTGTTCTGCTCCTTCCCTAAGCAGATTTAATTTGGGGCCATCTGAGACTCCTGTGCCTATGTTAATGGCTTTCAAATTGTCAGGATGTGTTAAAGACAAATTTGGGAAATACTTTTTAAAGACAGAATCACTGTAGGAAAAAACAGTATGCTTCTCGTAAAGCTTCTTCTAGAGTTTCTATCTGGTGGTGTGGGGAGAAACTTGTGCCATAAAACTTCTTGGGTAGCTCCAGCTTGTTCATTACTCTTCATGCACCATAGAGGAGCTGGTGTTTGAGCCAGGCTGGAGGTCCCTCAAGCCCCAGCACCTTCTGAGAGTGGTCAGCAGACAGGGCTTAGAAAATATTTAGAGAAAAAGTAGTACATGGAATAATCCTTCACTTTTTACATGATTCTAACTTGTGCCACCACCATTTAAGAGACTTTGCTTTACTTATTTTCATATGTGTGCTTGGTGCTCTTAACAAACCACAGATGCAGACAGCATAAATTCACTGGCTTCTGCCTTCAGTTTTAACAGCTATTACTTCTGACACTCTTCTTTAAAGGTTTGGTCTGGGTTACATTTTTTCTCCCCTATATCCATTGGGAGAGCAGATTGCTTCCAAGAAATTACACTGCATGTCTTCCTCCTTTTGTCTTTTTTAACATCACCTCTGAAGCTACATGCACGTGGTATTCTGTAGCATTTTGTGTTAAGATGCTGCTTTTTTGAGTTGCAGGAAGGGTTTGGCTTTTCTTCTTTTTGCAGGGAAAAAGAAATATTGCATTCATGCAAGAACTTCAGGGTCTGTTTGCTTTAATGCTGGGGACGCGCCGTAAGTTTGTAGACCCTTCTGCAGCACTGGAACTCCTGAGGGATGCGTTTAGATCCACTGGAGAACAGCAGGTAAAACCATGTTAAAAACAAAACAGCACTTGCAGCCACAGCAATCCTGTCTCGCTTCATCCCACTATTACTTTCAGAGGCCTCTTCCCATGTTTATCAACTGACAAGCAGCTGTCCCTGTGTCGTTTAGGCGAAATGTACGTGCTTGCTAATTAAACAGCCAGCATCACAGTGCTCTACCCAGTGCCATCTGGGTAGTTGGGAAGCGATCACAATAATTTCCTCTGATCTAGTTTGCAGATGAGCAGAGTGTTCATTATGGGTCTAAATCAGCACAGCACTTCAGTTTCACACTCCTGTTGGCTGTGTAGGTACTGCAGTGCCAGTTGGGTCCTGTGCCAGTGGGTTTGTGAAACCAAGAGGCCATGAGAGCACTTCCTGCTTGGCATGTTGTGTGACTCTCCACTTTTGTTTCTCTCCTAGCAAGATGTGAGTGAATTTACACACAAACTCCTGGACTGGCTGGAGGATGCATTCCAGCTTGCTGTTAATGTCAAGTGAGTGTTTTGTGATCTCAGGAGTTTGACCTGACAGTCAGACACTGAGGAGAAGCAATTTTAAATGCAACACCTTAACAAATGAGGGCTTCACGTGAAAATTTTTAGTAAATGGAAGAGAATTTCTTTGTTCACTGAGGATGATGCTCCTTAGGCTCAAAAGATGCTCATGAAGTGCTATTTCTGCATTTTCTGTACATAAGCATAGGATTTGTTCAGTGCCCATATGGCCTGTAGAGGAAATAAAGTTTTTAGGGGAACTCAACAGAGCTGATGTACATGAAAGATCTGGTTTTTGGAATTGAATTTCAAAAGGTAGTGCCTTTATTTTTTTTATATATTTTTTTTTTCCTTGCAAGTAGAAGTGTTAGAATGTGCTTTTGAGTGTGGGAACAGATGAGAAGCTTCCTCTGTACTTTGTGCTTGGATAGAAAACTTTACTTTTGAGTGTAGGAAGATTCCCAGTCATAGGCTCTGATTATGACTTGGGGCTTTTTGGCAGCCTGCAGCTGCAAATGGACATGTGCTTTTCCTCTCTGAAACAGGAGCCCCGGGGACAAATCTGAAAACCCAATGGTACAACTTTTCTATGGGACTTTTTTGACTGAGGGTGTCCATGAGGGTAAGTGAGGGGTTTATCTCCTTTGAGTGTTTTTATTTATAGCAGTGATGATGCAGGATTTTGTTGCACATTTCTGTTGAAATTACCTAGTTTTTTTAAACTGGCAAGCAGTCTTCTTGATGAAATTGTCTGCAACTTTTATAAAGTCTGTCTTCTGAAAACATGGAATATTCATGAGTGCTGGTGTGTTTGAAAGCCCTTGTTTGTCAGGAGGTTCCCCCAGCAGATGTGTGCACAGAGAGCTCTGCCGCTCGTGCCTGCAAGTAGCACCTCTGGTGCTGGCCACAAACTCCTGAGTTGACCTGAGGGTTTTGTTCTCTGCAGTTGGTTCATGAGATTTGTATTGTTCCCATCATCCAGGCAATACCTTTTCCAAGATCGAAGCCTTTGGTCAGTACCCCCTCCAGGTAAATGGTTATCGAAACTTAAATGAGTGCTTGGAAGGAGCCATGGTGGAGGGCGAGATGGACCAGGCAGCAGCATCTCAGTCCAGGACGTATGGACAGGAGGTTAGTTTCACGTTTTTCCTTTGTGCTCTTTGTTACTAGCTGCAGAAATATGCAAACATATAGCACAGGGGTGTCTCCATATGTTTTGGTAACCTTAAATGGCAATTGAAAACATTCCCTAAGAAATGAATACAAAATATTTTCTGGGAACCTGGAATCTCACATAAATATGTTAGTGTGACATGGTTGGGCACTAAGTCTTTGCTTATTTGTAAATATTTGTTGTCCTAGACAACCAGTTCAAGGAGTGTGTTTTAAATTAAAAAGGTAAACATCTGCTTCTGATGCAAGTGTGATAAAGTCTCTCTCTTTCTGTTGAAGCCTACCTGTACCTGAGTAGGGGGAGAACCACTGCCTCCATATTTTCGGAGGGTAAAAGTACAGTGCTTAACTCTATGGTATGCCATTTGGAATTTGTATCTTTCTCCCTGTTACGGTGTGTGTTTTTTTCCTCTTCATTTTCACTCTTACCTTCTGGCTGTGCTGACTTTTTATTTTATTTTGTTTTTTTATTTTTAAATCTCACAAATCACAAACCAATCATAAAGTAGTTGCAGCAAAGTAGAGAGTGAAGGTGTGCCATTCTGTTCAGCATTCTGTGTGTGTAAGAGCAGCTGAGAAATTTGCTTAGCAAAAGATTAGGAAATAACAGTAAGAAGTTTGCAAAGGTGTCTGGTGTAAAGGGGTCAGGGAAAGGTATTCCAGTTCTAAGAGATCATCTGAAAAATGTGTTGCTGTGGTTTAAACTAGGAAAGGAGAAGTGAATGACTCAGGACTCCAGTGTTTGTTTCTGGCTTTCCTAGTTCCTGCCTGAAGCTGTTGATCTGCAGTTCCAGCAGATGTGAGACTGATGTGGGCTGGTGCCAGAGACAAAGGGATGTAGGAAACTAATTGGGAAGGTTTTTTTTTCAGCCCAAGCTTTTTAGTTCCTCCAAATTCCTTTCCAAAAGATGAGGGAAATTGGACTAATCATGGAGATGCTGTAACCATTCTTTGTCTGTACAGACAGGAGGAAAAGGCTCCGGCTTTGTCTCTAAGAAATCTGACTGGAAAAACTCTGCATCTTAATTTCACTCCCTAGGATGTCGTGGCTAAAGGACTGCATGCTAGGGGACATAGGGAATAAGGTGCATTTTGTCTTTTGAGAACATAGGTGAGTGTACTGAAGCTTGAAGCATCAGTGGGATTAATGAGAACTTACATTTCTCCTAAATAATCTATATGTAAACCATTCCTTTTCTCTTTTTTAAGTTCTCTTCTTCTGAAGATTGGGCTGCTTCTAAAAAAGCTCTTGCTACCTGGCCATTTCCCTACCAAGTTTTAAAAAAATAACTATAAAATACACCCTCACTGTAAATATTTTAGATCTACAGATGTGCTGGTGCACGTTGTGAGACAGGTTTATTGTGGCAGGACATCTGACATGAGTCCTGCAAAGGAAAACGAGCTTAGTGTGCTCGTCCCAAGCCCAGAGGGTTGTGCCTTGCTAAGGTAGGTGAAGGAAACTTCTGACAGTAGGTGCTGGGAGTGTTTGTGAACCCAGGAAGAAAGAGAGGAAATGTAAATTCAGCCCAGAATTATTCTTTCAGCATGGCTCTTTGAAACAGTGTATGAAACATACAGGAAGTGGGTTTCTTCTCTGAATCTCCTAAATTGAGCAGTTAGTACACAGAGAGCGAGAGAATAAGGAGTCAGGTACTGCTTGAGAACTTCTGTTTTGTTCTTCATCATTGCATGTGATCTACATTGGCAAAGACCTCTCCTGGAGGCTCTTACTGATGCCCAAAGTTTGTGTAGCATCTGCTAATTTTGTAAAATTCAGTGCTGGACCTGTTAATAATCCATGAAGCTGTATGCATCAGGCAATGAGAAGTAACTGAAGGCTGTTAGGGGGCTTTTTCACAATAGAAATGTGAAATGCAATCAGAAGTTTTAAGCTTTTGACTTTCCATAAGCACAATATATACTTAATCAGTATTTAAAGACAGACACTTAGGATCAGTCTAAAATCATTTAGGATCATTCTAAAATGTGTCATTTAGCGGTGATCTTAAAACAAGTCCCTTTGGGGGCATTTCTGCTTTTGTTACAGCGCTGGTTTACAAAACTCCCACCAGTACTGACCTTTGAACTCTCCCGATTTGAGTTCAATCAGTCCCTAGGACAGCCAGAGAAAATTCACACCAAGCTAGAGTTTCCCCAGACTATTTATATGGACAGGTGAGTTGCTCTGTTGTACGGTACGTTCAAAGCTATCGCTTTTTTATAATTAAAACATTTTAAAAGGTATTGGTGAGCAAGGAAGGATCCTAAGATCATTCTGAAAGGTTGTGGATGGTAGAAGTTCACAAAACTCATGTGGCGGGGCTTTGTTTTTCTCTGTTTAGGTACCTCTACTGCAGTAAAGAGCTAATTCAGATGAAGAGAGAAGAAATGAAGAGATTGAAGGAGAAAATGGTGATTCTGCAGCAGAAACTGGAGAGGTAGGTAGCTAGCTAGATGTGTTTTTGTGCCCTGTGGGAGCATGCAAATGCTTGCTTTCAAACAAGCTTTCCAATAGAAGAGACTCTGGTAGAGGAAGGGCAAACAGAGCTGGGTTTGTTCTGGGAAGCCTGGAGGGAGGGGGTGTGTTTTATCACGTGTGATAGCACAACCCTGTTTTGGCTGCTGCCAAGCCTACCCCTGCGCGTTCAAGGTCTGCGGGTGGGAGGTGTGAGCACATCCCTCTGCAGCTCCTGGGGCCTTCACTGCTCAGACCGTCTCCATCCCGACATGGGAGTTTTCTTCCCTGTTGCTGTTCAGTTGTCCCCTCACGTTTAACCAACAGTCACATTCCTTCATCCATGCTGACCTCCTGCTTTTTTCTGCAGGTACATGAAGTTTGGCTCCGGCCCGGCGCGCTTCCCTCTGCCTGACATGCTCCAGTACGTGCTTGAGTTCATTGCCACGAAGCCACCTGGGGCTGTGTCTTCTGCTCAGGGCTCTCAGACAACACTCCTGCAGTCCCAGGCTGAGCCCCATGATTTCGATATGCTTTCACAGCCAAATGGGTTAGTAAACAGAAATAATGAAACTTTGAGGGAGAACACTTTGCTGTTCAGCTAAATGTTCCAGGTTTGCATTCCAGAAGTGGATTATTTTCTGGGCACTAGTGAGCATGATGCTGTAATGTATGAAAGCCTGTGCAAGCAGTCAGTCACCACTTTCCTTATCATTTGGTTCTGTTTGTGTACATATAACACTGCATCTACTCTGTTCTTTTTCCTTTTTCAAAAGCAGCACCCTATTCCTTGTCTAAGCAGCAGTACTGAGTTGAATTATGTGCTCTTCTTGGCTAAGCTACTAAATTTTGCTTCATCAACCAGTAAATTACTGCGATATTGGATTATTACATACCTGGCCAGCATGGTTGGTTTACGCTCTAAATTAAGCTGAGTAAATACACAAGTTTCTGAGTAGTAAGGGAGGTATTTTTGGAATTGCTCTTTGTGGATCTGTGCTTACAGAGTTCTATAAGAATTTTAGCTTCTATTCATTCTGTATTTTCATTTGGTCTGCTAAAGTAGAAGTACATTTCAACATACTTGTTCTCTTTACATTTTGTACCATTCTGGTAGGAAAATCCTGCTCTGTCTCTGGAGCAGTTTTTATTTGGTTTATTTCATATTCTTTTCCAAAAAAGAGAAGAAACAAAGAGTTTGAAAAACCTCTCCAGTACTCTTGGATTTTGCTTCACAGCATACTGCAAAGGAAGGATGCTGGGACTGAAGATGCAGCTTCCTTTTTGGCAAACCCCTTACCAGAGCTAAAACTGACTTCACTCCAGCCTTCTGGTTCACCAGCAGAGATGTTGGAACATCCAGCCCCTCGCGTGGTTTCTGAGGAAGAGCTGAACCTTGTCCGGACGTGCCTGCAGCGCTGGAGGAACGAGATTGAACAAGACATGCAAGGTTGGCCCCAAATACAGACATTGTGTTTTTCCTGTTGAGCACCAGCCTGGTTTCCCCTCTGTTGCTTCAACTGGACGCATCCTGATCTTCAGCTTGTGTAGGCCTCAGCCCTGGCCTGAAGTGTGTTTGAGATGGATAGTCATTAATTTGTGTGTATTTCTCTCTTTTGTGATATTCTTGGCAGATCTGAAGGAGTCTATTGCCCAAATCAACTTGGCCATAGAACAAATGTACTGTGATCCTCTCCTCCAGCAGGTGAGCAATGCATCTTTGTTAGGGAAATATTAAACTGGTGTTGCTGATACTGTTTTTGTTAGTAGCTATCAACTCAAGTTGTCCACTTCATTGTATTTTTTTAAATCCCAATATAATGGAGAAGCAAAGAAAATACTCTTTCTTAAAATCTTGTTGCTCTTTCCCTGAAAAGTCAGTTCTTACTTAGCAGGGAATTTATGATATGAAGAGTCTTGTGCCAGGCTGCAGCTATGAACTTACTTGCAATTTTTGTACAGTCAGGCAAATTGGTTACTGAACACAGGTCTGAAAGCCATGTCCACGTGTTGCAGGTTCCGTACCATCTGCACGCTGTCTTGGTACATGAGGGGCAAGCAAATGCTGGTCATTACTGGGCCTACATATACGACCAGCCTCGAAAATGCTGGCTCAAATACAACGACATCTCAGTGACAGAGTCATCGTGGGAAGAGCTGGAGAGAGATTCGTTTGGAGGCTTGAGGAATGCCAGTGCCTACTGCCTGATGTACATCAGCGATAAGGTGTCCCACTTGGTTGCAGGTACTGGATCCAAAACTGCTGGTTTGAGAGTCATTGGGGTGTTATCTTGTCTCTCTAGCTTGCATGATCATTTCGTTCCTCAGCTTCTCTTTGGTACAGTTGTCTTTTGACAAAGCAAAAGCCTTCACCCCATATAGAAGTGAAATAACTTACTCAGTGCTAGAGTAATTTCTCAGTCCCTGATAGGGTTGAAAACTGAAGACAGAATGGTACTGGTGGGATTAGGTCCAGGATTTAGTGTATTATTTATCTCTGTAAATATTCACACTCTCCATTTGTCCCTTCCAACATGCATCTAGTGCTGTTTTTCTCTTTTACTCTTTATATAGTTTATATGACAGTGTTTCTTTTACAGGGACATGTGAAACACCTCCTGCTTTATTTCTCCCAGTTTTGCTACACTTTTCTGCCTTGTTGGCTTATTTTCCAGTGATATCCTTATACTGAACCCAAGCAGTTCCTTTTTTATGCAGCCTTTCCTGGTGCATGAGTTATTGATACCAGCAGCTTAGACATCAAGTGTGTTTCCAGTGCCAATGTATAAATAGTTGCGGGGAGAAATTACGGTGCACGTGGCACTATACATGGCAAACAGCTGTAGAAGAACCTAATAATTTCACGCGTGGCTCATTTTGATGTGATAAATAGAAAGAAACAATGGGGAACTGTCATTCTGTTCATTGCTAAATATGGCTGATGAGGATCTGGAGGTTGTTCTTTGTCTGTCTTCCCATGACAGTTCCGCTCCTGAAATGATTCCATATTTTTTTTTTCCCCTATTTAATGCAATTTTTGTTCTTTTTTTAAGATGTTTTGCCTTTACAATGGGTGCGTAAGAATTAGATGTTGCAGAGAATTGCCATTTGCTTTTGATAAATTGTGAGGCTTGTCTAAAGCAGATACTGCTTGGATTTTGTGCTTTGTAACTGAAGTAGCACTAAAAAGCAGTGAGAAATACCATCATGACATTTGCTGTCTGGAACCCGTGCTGGTCCCTACCTTTATACACCACCTAGTTCTGTAGTTAGGATGTCTGCAGCTCAACTGGGGGTTTTCCAGCTATGGGCAGTGTAAAGCCTGTGCTCTGTACCATGGTAGCCCTTGAATAAGGATGCATTTCAGACCTACTGCAGCAGCCTGCATGTTTCTGGAATTTCTCTGTGATAAATGCCACCCAGTGGTAGAACAAAACAGTTGCGTGGGGTTTTTTCAGATAACACTGTAGATTTTTCCCTGGTTTTGCACTTTTGCTTATGAATCATCTTGAATTGCAAAGCTAGTAGGAAGTTGTGTTGTTTTTTTTCCCCCCATTGAGCCCTCGGCCAGTTTGATTGTGGCTTTCCACACTAATGCCTGCTTGTTTGGTCTCTAGTAGTGGTGTCCTGCTGTGCTGTGTTCTGTTCTGTGCCATTC